CACAGAAACATGGGTGTACATTAGACACAGCAAAATACTGTAATTTTAGCCAGAGAACTGACAAGCTCTCTGCGGAAGAGGGGTAAAGAGTGACAAGAGAAGAAAGCCCAGAACAGAGGTCCCGAAGGCCCAGGGAAGAGCTGGGCTGAGAAGGAGGGGGAATGCCATAAGCACACTCTGTCAAGGAAGTTAAGGATGTGGCTTTTGTAAGAAGGGGGTGTTCAAGGGTGTCAGGTTCTGTTGAGTTCTGTCCGCAGGTCTCTGGTGGCCTTGACTGTGAAGATGAACGAAAGCTTGGAGTGGTGCTGAAGTGAGGGCAAGAGCGGGCACCACCTAACAGGGCAACTGTTCTTTTTCTTTTTCACATTGGAGCCAAAACGTGGTCGCCTATTCGTTCCATAAATACTTTATTTATTAAGCTCCTAATGGGCTGGGGCACTTTGTTCAGGGCTGTGGGTAAGACAAGTCTTTGATGCAGGAGGCAAGTGAGGAGACAGATGCCTTCATTCATATCACAAAGCCACGTGACGGGAGCGCGCTAAGGGAGGCGCATGCCGGGGGCTTGGAAACAAGCGGGATCAGCTGTGCCGGGGAAGGGGCAGGGGCAGGAAGGAAAGGCCCTGGGGAGCAAGGAAGGGGAGCAAGGTTTGCACTGGGACGGTCGTCATTGGGTGCCCACTGCAAAGTTCAGGTCTCAGCCAGCAGGGGAAGAAGAGCATTTCCAGAACTCCCGGTGGTTTGGTGGGACCACAGGACTGACCTGGCCAACGTGTGGCGCGCGGTGGTGGGCACATCGCTTTCAGGCCAGAGCACTCCACCGCCAGGGCCCGGTCCTCCGCGGTGGCCCTCGCTCTGGCGGTCCGACACCTGGGGACCCGCCCTCAACACACGCTTCTCTGGATGGGCAAGTGTAGGGGAGGAAATACTATTTTCCCTCCACCCATCTCAGGTTCATTGTCTGGGGCCCTGCGAATTAGACCAACAAAAGGCAGGCTGGCTAATAAGAGAAAAACAAACAGAAGTTTATTAACATGTGCGTCGTGTGTACACATGGGAGCACCCAGTGAGGAGCAGCTCACAGGCTTGGTTAGAACAGGGGCTTATAGAGCATCTTAACAAAAGAACAATACATTTTTTAGAGAACTAACAACAAAGGGAAAAGACTTCCAACTTCTAGAGCAAATTGTGGGAAGACATATCTATAGGGAAACTCCTGGTAGATAAGGGCTAGTTTTAACAAGGTTTATTAGATTCCTCTGGTGCTGCCACTGGGCTGATAAGGGTCTGGAGTTGTCACCAGTGAATGACTTTCGTCCTTCCTTGTGGGGAGAGAAGGGGGGGACATTCCTACAAATTCTTGTCTTGCTTTTAGGCAAGAGGGGAAGGGCAGAGAGACTTTCTTGAACATGTTTCTTCTCATTTGCCTTCAGCTCAAAATAATCCCTATACCAAAGTGGCAGGTTTGGAGGTGGCATATTCAGCGACTCTGAAGCAGATGTTTGTTGTTTTACTGCCACCTTGGCATAACCTAGCCCAGTGCAGTCCCTGGAACCAGCAGCATCAGCTCTACCTGAGAACTTGTCAGGAATACAGATTCTCAGGCCCCACCCCGGGCTTCTGGAAGCTGAAACCCTGGGCTGGAGTGCAGCCATCTGAGTTTTATCAAGCCCCCCATCCCCCACCCCAGGGGATTCTGACACATGCTGAGTTTAGGACCCACTGCCTTGTCTGGTGCTGTCGTCTGCAAGGCAGAGAGGGAGGAATTAGAATTCAAAGAGAAGGTCATTCTAGCAAACTTGAAAACACTGAGTAAGAAGACTAATTAAATGGTGAGGCTCTTCATGTCATAGAAAAAAAAATTTTTCAGAAAAATATCATTGTACCCATCCCTAAGACTGAGCCTTCCTTTCAAGATCAGGAAAACTGTCTCGCCGTGTGAACAGTCTTCTCCTCCGTCACGCTGGAAGAATACATGGGTGCCGGAGGGAATCTCGGGACCCAGTGCCGCAGAAGCCAGCCCTGGGGCCTAAGAGGAACCTCGAGCCGCATTTTCCATTTGTCCCGATGGCCTTGCTGACTTAGAAAGTGCTTCTGAATGCTTTGTATCTGAAAAGTACATAAAATCTGATTCTTCTGCCTGCAGGGTGAGTCATTAGAGCTTCGGCGGAGGCTATTTGGTAATGAGCACTGTTTAAATGGAGCAAAAAGTACAATTCCAGACGGATTGCTTTTTAAACTGTCAAATAAAAGGAATCCATTTGTGCATGTGAAATCAATCCAAGGATTCTATTAGCTGAAAGCAGGTGACAGATGTCAGAGAAAAGAAATGTTCTATTAAAGGGCTTGCTAATGTTTAAAGACCCACTTGATGACTCCTTTGGCCTGTTTTGGATTCACAAATGTCTATTTTCAGCAGCCCTAGGTGAGCCCCATAGGAAAAGTTATCAGAAAATTCTAAATCCTAATAACGAGATGCCATTCCGTTCATTGGCGTTGCCTTAATCAGCGTGACCCTGATGTTCATTCATGGGCCGGCGGACAGCATTTTATCACTTTATTCTTTCCTTTGCCTTAAATGCGATGCCAAGAGCCCTTGGCTAGCTTTCTACGTGACATATTTAACACTGTCCGATGGCCTTCTATTTGCTATTGATAATGGCATCCTTATACGGCCGAGCCAATGAGATGAAAATTCTGTACAAGTACGAAAAGCACCTTTTCTGTCACTGGCGGGCATGCCCAGGTCACCAACGCAGAGCAGGAGCCTCAGCGGCGGGCATCCTTACAGACAAAACCGAGCCCCTGGCAATTCTCTCCAAGGCCAACAACCCCTGCCTCTTCCATTTATTTTCTCTTGGGGTTTCCCCTGCAATTAGTCTTGGGTACATGCCTTCAGTGTCTTTGTGGGCAGGGAAACAGGGCTGCTGCAAATAATTAGTGAACCTCCTCTCTCCCCTGGCCCTTCAGGTATCTCGTGCCTGTGCTGCTATGCCAGGCTCACACAAGCAAAATTATCCCTGCTTACTCAGTCCGAGAGGAACCAGGCAGATGGTGATGGGCTAGAGGCATCGGGACAGACTCAAAAGGGGCAGGCTTCGCACACTTGAATGTGCACACTAATCTCCAGGGGGCGCGTTAACAATGCACATTCTGACTCAGTTGGCTGGAAGCTTAGAGCCTGAATTTCTTGCAAGCTCCCAGGCAATGCTCGTGCTGCTGTGGCCCACATTTTGAGCAGTGAGGGGACAATGCACGTTCTGCAACACCGTGACTTTCAGAACAGATGCTACTCCCCAGGCGTTTATCTAAGGGTCTGGCTCCACTTTGATTTAGGGTTCCTTGAAAGCAGAGACTGGATCTTACACTTTTTTTTTTTTTTTGGTTGTTTTGTTTTCTTCTCTGGCTGGCACTTGGCACAGGTCCCGCACACGGTGGGTGTGTATTTATTTAATTAAACAGAACTGGCCTTGTTCCAAACAGGATTTCCAGCGGACTTAACCCCCAGCAGGCCCTCCCTAACCAGATGCGGGATGAACTGGCCAGGGAGCGAAGTCAGTCCTGCGGGTTGAATCAAACCCTCTGGGCTGAGGCCCTGCTGCCAAGGTCCCCACCACCTGCTAGCACCTGGATTATGTCTCAGCTGCTGCTCTTCTGAAATTCTCCCTCCTGCCCCATTTTTAGAGCGGTTTACACTAGAGAACCGATCAGAGAGGAGGAAAACAAAACAAAACCCAGAAAGCCCTGCCAAGCGGCAAGGCTCCGGAGCATCAAAAGCTCAACACACAGCGGCGGGGCCGCAGAACTCTCAGGTTTCTCTACCCTGTCTCCAGCTTCAGCAGGTCGGCCGTGCGCCCCCCGCCGCCCCTGGCTCCCTCGCCCGCCCTCCCGCCGAAAGAGCCCTGCAGGAGCCAGTCCCGGCGGGCACCGGAGCTCCGAGGCTTGCTGCAAGCCTGTTCGCTCTGCTCGAGCTATTAATCTTCTCGTGCATCTCCTGCACCGCCCCCGGAAGGGGGTCGGGTCCCACCAAGGGACAGTGCGGAGCCTGGACAAGAAGGACAGCTCTACGGAAACGCTGTTCCAAGAGTCCCCGAGGAGCCATAACCTGTGCCTCTCTGCAGCAGCCTCGGAGGGCTCGAGAAGGGAGGGCTCGGTTCAGCTCCTTTGGGGAGGGGAGAGAGGAAAAAAAGAGGAGGGCGATTATGCTGGGCAGCAGTTGAGCCTCACGAGGGGAGGGAGGAGCGCACGGGCGAGCGCGTCTTAGAGGCGGAGTACACGTGCAGCCCGGACGGTGAGAGGCGGGCGGGAGGGAGGAGAAGGGAGGCGTGAGCTGCAGGCGGGAGGCGCCACGGCCTCGCAGACGCAGGCGCCGGCGCCAGCAGCCGGAGCGAAAGTTCCCGTGGAGAGCTCGCCCCCGGCAGCGCCGGCGTCGAGGGTCGCAGACCCCGTACGTCCAGCCTGCCTTGCCCCTGCGCGCACTGGGCCGCCCGGGCTCGGCTCGTCGGGAAGCAAGAAAGCGTCGCTGGCGGGCCGCCGCCGCCAAACTTGGAGGCGGAGGATGCTGCGAGTGGGAGCGGCGGCTGGGGGCGTGGGGGCGCACTGAGTGCTCCCCGCGGGCGGCCCCGGGCAAGGCAGCCACGGCTGCGGCCGCACGAGCCCGCCGAGCCCGAGCGGCCAGGTAGCGGCTCCAGCGCGCGGACTGCGCCAGACCTGCAAGCCAGGGCCGCCACCGCCACCGTGCCGGCGTCGCCTCCTCGCCACGGAGCCGCGGTGCGCGCACGCTAGGAGCGGGACTCTGAGCCACGGCCACGCCGCGTGCCCAAACCTCCCCTCTCCGTGCTTCCTCGCCGACCTTCCCCGTGGACCATGAAGCTTTGGTCCGGAGACTCTGGCTTCTGAGCGGCGTGTCGCCCGCTCTAGCCGCAGCGCCGCTCGCCCACAGACAGTACTCGGCCTCTGAAGCGCCCCATCTTCTCCCAGGGACGGCACCCAGGCGCTCCGGGATGGCGCTCCCAGGTCCCCTCCGGCCGCGCAAAGTTCGCAGGAGGCGAGAGATGCTGCCGCAGCAAGCTGGCTTCGTGTGCGCGGTGCTGGCTCTGGTGTGCTGTGCGTCTGGCCTCTTTGGCAGCTCGGGTAGGTGCCGGAGCCGGCCGCCCCAGCAGTTGGGGGGTTTGGGTTGGGAAACCGTGGGGCAGCTCCGAGATGTCTCCCCTTCCCTCCCCGTAGGGTCGGTCCCAAGGGTTAGCCCGGCAGGTAGAGCACACCCAGGAGGGTGGATTGTCGACGCTCCGAGCTGTGGCGTGCGTTCCCCGGAGACGCGCGCGGCCCCTGGGGTCTCAGGACGCGGCCGCAGGGCTGTGTTACTAAGACGAAAACCAGAACTGCTGGCCCCTTGGTGCCACAATTGTGTCTCTGGGGATGCGCGGCGTAGCGAGGGGTCCCGATGTGGGGCGGATGAAACTGAATGGTCCGCTTTCCTATTCGGAGCGCAGACGGTTGTGCTCCGCGCCCCTCCAAAACCCATATTCAGACGCTGTGAATTTCATCTTAGCCCTCCCCTCGCCCCAACCCTTGTCCAAAGGCGCCCTGGGTGTCCTGCCGCGTCCTCCTCAAACCCTAAAAACGTTGGGGCAGCCTCTCCTCCCGGGGAGATCGCTGCCATGTTTCAGCATCGTTCTCGCAAGTCCCCTGAGTCCCCAGGGTAGGAGAGCGCCGGGTCGGGACCCCAATCCACACTCCACCTGAGGAGAGACCCAGGGGTTTGAAAGTCGCTTAGGATATGCAAGTCTGAGGTGGAGAAGAGGAGAAACTTACAAAAAAATATCTGGTTGTGGGGGAGAGTGGGGGGATGTGGGGGGATGTGAGCCCATGTGGAATCTCCAGAAGACATTTCACTTGGCTAACGTTGCTGTTTTTAATTGGATGCTGTGGACCCTTTGTTTTTCACACTTTAAAAAAAAAATGCAGGTGTTTAGCGTCTTGAACATGGAGATAAAGCAGCAGTACCTTCACGAGCAGTTAGGGGCAATTTAGAGAGGTTTTTCAGTGAGAAATAGGTAAAAATTAGACGGGACTTGATGAAACTTAAAAACACACAAAAAACCCCCTGCCTTTCAAAATCTGAAGTTTGTGATTGAGGCTGTAAGGTTAAAAAGCAGGGGCTGTGTGTCCAACAGAAAACCGTAATGGTCATGTGAGCGTCTGACTGCCTGGTGTTTTGCAGTTGGGTGAGTCGGTGTATTTCCCCCCCTCACTTACACACCAGAAATAACAAACTACCTAGAGGCTCTTAGATGTCAGCGTCACAGAAGTATCATTACCCAGCTGAAGCAGTGCACGCATCCGGAGCGGTAAAAGAATACCTGTGAGGTCGCAGAGTGAGAATCACCTGCGTGTGCTGGCGCAGGTGCGGCCGTTCGCAGTTGAACCGTGTCCCGTGCCCGTGCCCACCCATGACCACCCGTGTGCCTCGGTTTGGCCCTGGGATCAGCAGCCTCGGCGTCACCTGGGAGCTTGTTAGTGCTGAATCCCAGGTCCCAGCCCCGACCTACTGAATCAGAATCTGCATTGTAACACGATCCCCACGTCATCCGTGTGCACGTTCAAGGGTGGGAGGCCCTGGCCCGGACCCCACCTATCCCCACCCCACCCGCCTTCCTGTCCATTTGTAGATCCTCTAGAGCGGGGGCACCTGAGCACCTTTATTGGCAGAGGACTTAATGGCCACTTAGCTGAACCCTTGGTTGCACCTGTGAGGGGCCAGGAACTGGGAGAGCGTGACCAAGGTCAGGGCACATGCTGACCACCTGGGACTGGAAGCAATGAGCTAGAGCCAGGAGCCAGATTACCGCAGGTGATACTTATTGTGCGTCCGATCATTGTATCACTCCCTAAAGGTGGTTTGAACTCGTCAGACAGAGCTGCTACTGACATAGACATAAATACGTAAGGTCACTGTGGGCATTCAGGCGCCACCTTGACTTACTGGTGTCCGTGACTTAACTTCCCATCCAGGGCACAGAGCAGCTGCAGGTAAGCACCTTCTACCAGACGCATGGAGAACTAGAAAGCTGATGGCACCCGTGAACGCGACACAGACGGCCAAGAACTGCACAGACCCTGGTAAGAAACAGATTTTCCACCCTCTCCCCCTGCCCCTCTGGCATTTGTCCGCCTGGGGATGGGGCTTATGTGAACGGTTACAGTCAGTGCTGGGAAAGGTGGTTTTGTGAACACGGGTGGGAGGGTAGCTGTGAAGCATTTAAAAGTAATGTCCACACATTAATCAATTGTGCTGCTAAGCAACTCAAGTACTTTCTTGATCTAACAACTGAAAAGGTCATGTTCAAGAGTTTTAAATTTCCATTTTTCTCACAGTGCTCCTGAGGCTCAGTGTCTCCCGCACTCTTGATTTTGTCGGCCTGTGTGTCTTGTCTTTTCCCCTTTGCTCCCTGCGCCCATTTGCTGGAGCTCCAGGGGCGGCACAGCCAGCTGCTGTGGCACAGGGCTCCTGGGGTGACCTGTTAGTCGGTCAGACAATGCTGGGGCAGCTACCGGCGTAGGACCCTGGGTGCCGGGGCCCCTTCTCTGGCACAGGAGTTCCTGGGGTGTCGTTCCAGCTACGGAGGTGAATCCCTTGCCCTGAGAGGTAGGTTTTGTGACCCCCCTCAGACTTCTCTAGAGGGTCAGAGGCTGTGGGGACCCAGAGAGGACAACTTGACTGCCGCCCTGCCACAGGCAGGCTTTGCAACAAGGGGTGAAGATGATTCCCGGGAGAAGAGGGTGTCCTCCTGCAGGCGGCGAGGCGGATGGGAGCAGCCCAGGCTCGGGCAGGGCGTCCTGGGCTTGATCTCTTGTGCGAAGGACCCAGTGAGGCGATGCGTTCGGAAGCCCTTTGAGAACTACCAGGTTCTAATATAGGTGGGCATCACTTGGCTTTTCCACCAAGTTGTTGGGAGAGCCATGTAATGATTTTAGGCCTCCGCTTTCTTGCTGGCTCCGGGCGGTCGGGAGAAGCAGTTGGTAAGCTCCTCACGGGGCTCTGCGCACGAGGAGGCGGAACCGGAGGGCAGAGGAGCAGGTTTGGATGGAGTTGTCACGTGGCTTGTTTTCACAGGCAGGTCTTACCCACCTGCATTTTACAGGCCAGGAGGCATTGAGGGGAAGACACGTAAGCCGCCCAAAATCATAGAATGTGTACCCGTGGGGAAGCGGGCATCGGGGCCTGTGTGATTGAGGCCTTCGGTTGGTTCCACGTGTGTAGGGAATCCAGGGCTTTCGCTCAAACCCCGCTTTCCACACGGTTGACTTCCCTTGTTTCAGGATCCTTCTGAGAAGTACGTTTGGGCACGGACTGTAGGGGAGCACAGGCTCATGGAGAAGCAACTGGGATTCCCTTTGAACTTTGAATTCTCACCTGTCCTGGAGCAGCAGCAGCAGCAGCAGCAGCAGCAGCAGCGTCCATTCAGTTGTGTAACCTTCCCCGGTACCCCAGCTTTCCTCAGCCAGGATGGGGGGTGCGCGCGCCGGACTGACATGTGAACACGCACAAGGCCGTGCTGTCACTCCAGCGACCTGAAACGCTAAATTAGCACCGTCCATGCGGGAGCACTGAGCTAGCCTGGGGGAGGACGCAGGGTTCAATGTTTTTGACTGGTTTCTAGCTCACTGGTGCTCTGGTCGTGGGCTGGCTGTGACCTCTCGTGACTTCTGTCACATCGAGTCTGGGCACGCTGGCTTAGGCGGGGCCCTGTTTCTTAGTCTCCTGCGCCTTCAGTGTACACTCTGATCAAAAAGGGTCCCACTGGCTGTGGAGCAGGAGGACCCGGACTTGGCCCCCGTACAGGGGGGAAGTTGGAAATGGGCAGTCTCTTGAGCAGTAGTTAACATCTGCGTCACGCTTTGTGATGACTGCTTCTGGAATAGGGCCCTGCACATGGAAGGGACTCAGTAAATATTGGTTGAATGATGAAATGAAAGTGTATGGTGAATATTAAGCACTTTAATTTTTATAACGTTTCTGCAAAGGTGAGGGAGGCGAGGCTCAGAAGTTGAGTGACTTCCCAAGCTCTCGTGGGGCTGGCAGGAGCGTCCCTGGTGTTCTGGCGGCAGATCCTGTGCCCCCCGCATGCACCTGTTCCTCCCTCCCCGCCCACTGCGCACACCCGGTTCTCCCTGCGGCCCGGGTGGGCTGAGGCCCGACTTCCCTTCCAGCACCCTGGTCCCTGGGCTGGGGGAACCCCAGTCTCCGTTCCATCCCACAAGTACACAGCACACGCCTGCTGTGGTGCATCCAGCCCTGGGGGGCGCCTGGTGGGGAGGATAAGCAAGCGGAGAGGCAGCCCTTGTCATCAAGTAGCTCGCACGGCGGGGAGAGGGCATGAGCTCTGGTGTCTCTTCCTCCTCTTAGAAGGGCACTAATGCCATCGTGGCAGCCCCACCCACCCTCGTGACCTCATCTAAACCCAGGGACCTCCCAAAGGCCCCACCTCCAAGTGCTATCCCATTGGGGGTTAGGGGTTCAACAAAGAAATTTTGGGGAGGCACGAACCTTCAACCCATGTAAGGAATCAAAGAGTTTGCACACATGTCTCGGTGGTGGCACCTGGGGTGTTGGCAGACAGCTGTGGGTCAAACCCGGTGCCACTGAAACCTGGCCTGCGGTGAGGAACCCCTTCGGGGCCCTGAAACACACACAAATGCCTGGCCGTGGCCCCAGCTGGCGACATCAGAACCAGTGCTGGGTGCATCTGTGGCCAATTTTCAGAGCTTCTGGGAAACTCGCTTATCCCCCACCCAGATCCTCCAAGGCAGACTCCTCATTGTCACTGCAGCGGCCCCGGGCCTTCCCTGGTCATCTAACCCAAAGTAGCCTGTGAGTCATGGGCACTCTTGTTTCAGTTCTTTGCAGGCAAGAACTCTAACCCATTGTTTTGTGGCTGGTTTGCTTCCCCCAGGTAGGCTACGAAAGGTGAAAGTCTTGTTTGCTTTCACAGTATGTGCTTCAGATTTTCCTTCTGTAAAGGCGGGTGGCAGTTGAACCCACCTCATAGGGTGGTTAAGAATGAAATGAGTTAATACCCACCAAGTAATAGGCACATCTGTGCTCAGACTTTAGCTTACATTTTTATTCTTTTCTTATCCGCTTACCCCAGAGGATGATACAATCCCTGTGTCCAGTAGGTACTGGGAAAATCTGTTTGTCGACCAAGTTTTAGGAGCATAAGAAGTAAATATCTTGCCAAACATTGTTTGTCTTCTGGAGATGAACGAGTCTTGTTTTGATTTTTATCTTGTGAGGATTTGGGATGCTGGGGATGGCATACATTGTAGAACTTGCCACTAAAAAGAAGTTGTCCCTTGCCTGGTGTTACTCTACATCTTGGCTTGTAGTCGGAGCCGGCTGGCTTCCCTGTTCTGGCACTGCCTTCCCCCCGACACCTGAGACTGAATCAGGGGTCCATCCTCCACTGTGTCACCTCTGCGTGTTTGCATTCCTATCCTCTGCCTCATGTTTGAAAAGCAGCAGAGACACAGTTGTGGGGGTGGGGGCGGGGCACTCTTTGCTTTATCGTGTTTGGTTTTCCACTTTTCAGATACATCTTTGGAATGCCTGGTGGCTGGGGTCTTAGCTTGGCCTGCCAAGGCACGTCCCAGGACCAGGCACGTCAGCAGCAGAGACGATGTGCTTCCTCACGGTTCTGGAGGCCGGAGGCCTGAGGTCAGGGCTCTAGCATATTTGGGCTCTGGTGGGGACTCCTTCCTGGCTTGCACACTGCTGCCTTGTTGCTGTGCCCTCGTGAAGGGGAGAGCGAGAGCAAGGTCTCTGGTGTCCCTTCTCATAAGGCTGCCAGTCCCAGCAGCCCAGAGCCCCACCCCCGTGACTCCACGTACCCCCGTTACCTCCTAAAGGCCCCATCTTCAAATGCCATTGCTTTGGGGTTGGGGCTTCAACATGACGATGGGGGTGGGGCGGGGCATAAATATTTGGTCCATCACAGTGTCCATAGGAGAAAGGCTGGGGAGAGAGGGCTGAGGGAGGGCCGTTTGTCAGAGGGCTGAGGATGAGGCCGGTTCCCAGCATCTCGGGAGTCCAGGGGAGTCCGAGGCAGGCACTAGACAGATCTTTTGTGGTCAGCCTGGTTCTGATCTTCCCTTATTTTTTATTCTGTAAAGGCAGGGGGGGCGGGCGGCCGAGTCTACCGGCGGCAGGTCCTGTGCATAGGGGATGGCGTCGGGACGGGGTTAGGAGGAGGAGAGGAGAGCATTGAGCAGGTACCCGCCACAGAAGCGGTCTCCGTGGGCGCCCCTGTGGGGAGCAGGTGCAGGAAGCATGAATAGGAGGAGGGGACTGAGAGTGGCAAAAGGTGCCCCAGGACCCTTGGGCGTGGAGGCGAGGTGGTGCCGGCGACAAGACTGAACGTCTGTGCAAATGCTGCTGCAGCGTGCTTGGGAGGCAAGTCACCCCTCCTGGGTTTCAGGGCTACGTCAAAGCAAACCCTGAGCTGGGAAAGCAAGAAGGGAACTTACTGCTGTTCGCCTGGGGGCAGGGAGATCACAGTTCAGTTACTGTCCCAGACGGTAGAGGCAGGGCGCCTAGCCTGGGGAGGGGGTGTCCTGGGCAAGACAGCCTCCTGAGAGCCAGGTGGCTTGGGAGAAGTCACCAACCACGGTGGGATAGTGACAGACTGACACGTGGGGGCTGGTGAATAGCAGCCCATCGTCCATGTGAGCCGCTGCCTTTGGGATGGGGGTGGGGACATAATATGTTGGGTCAAGTGGCTTAACCGGGGATCTGGCAGCTAGCACTGGCTCCGCCAAGATCCTGCCTGGCATTTGGACAATCCCTCCCTGTCTTCCTTCCTCCCACTCTCCACAAAACGAAATTGCACTGGATGAGCACAGAATTCCCGGCAGCCAGAGAAGCTCCTGTTCCACAAGCGCTAGCCCTTCTTGGAGATGGCAGCTTGGCGAGCTGAAGGCAGCTGTGTGGGCTGGAGTCCCGGCTCCCTCTTACTGGCTGGACTCATGACCTTGAGCAAGTTCATGATCCCGCTCAGCTTCAGTTTTCTCTTTTGTGAAGGAAAAGCGTCACGGTGGTGCTACCTGCCCCATAGGGCTGC